ATAAAATTTGGAAAAGTTTATAAAATAGAAAAGAAATTTATAAAACAAAAAATTATAGAAATTTTAGAATATTTCATAATTTATATACATGAAAAATTTTAAGAAAAGATATAGGGATTTCTCAGTATTTTTGAAAAGATCAATTTGTATAAAAATTCTAAGCATTTTCACCAGAGTGGTTTTTTTAAGTAGATTTAATCGACGAAATGATAAGAACTAAAGATGATTAGCGATAAATTGAGAACCGCACCTGTAAATTTTACTCTTTCTTCGAGGATACAAGTTTAAATGAAATATCATTTGTTTTCTCTCTTCTTCTTCCGATAGAGGCGTAGGACTAGGTCCAGCTAGGAGAGGTATAGGTTGCGGGGATGACGCATAAAATTTTGGTCCACGATATTGAACGGGTCTTCTGAAATCGTAATCGTCTATAGACGATTGCGGCCTGGTCCAACTTGTCTTCTTATTTTGCTCCACGAGATCGGTAATAGGATAAATGTCAAGCATCACGCTGAACGGCTTTGGTTTTCGGTTCTTTGCTAAAGTGTTTGTCGAGTAAGAGCCGGTGGTTTCGTACTGCGTTTCCGATATGATAGGTTTGTTGTAAGTGATTAAAGGTCGAGAATATACAGGATCATAATAAGGACTGTATCTATGTACTCCAGTCGGGGAGAATCTAAAAGAGATTGATTTGATTAGTACTTTAAATAAATTGTAGGTATATTAGGATAAAATTGGGTAATATTTGACAACAGCCGGTGTCGGATAATTGCTTAAAATGTTAGATATATGTGTAGTATCTTGAACAATTCTTATGTCCAATACAACTATTATCCAATATCACTCGATCTTCTCATAATTGTATTAATTAATTTTTGTGTAATATAATAACATAGCGCAATAAAGAACTAATTGTATGAAAAATTGGATTCAGATTGAATGAGTTAGTTTTCACTTATAATGTAAAAGGTGCTCTGTGAGCACAACAAGTTGTACACTTTCGATATTTGCAACTAAACAATTATACACTGAGCCTTGAATTTATGACAGCTTTATTCACCATATTGTAAACTACATTATATGTGAAAACTAACTCATTTAACCGAATCAATTTTTTGTTTCTCATCAAGATATATAATTACTTTCATGGTCTAATATTATTTTCAGATCTGTGTATTTGTCTAAATTTTAGATACTTTAACAAAATCGTTCTTTCCATATTAATATCTAATATGCTCACTATCTTAGATTCACAAATTATAACAATTTCCATTTTACAAACCTCACATTAGATGTAGCTAAAAGATTAACGTCAGCTGGATGTTTTGGTTTGTATTGATAAAAAGGATCGTTACTGTACACCGCCGATTTGATTGGATATGATGGAGGCGTCTCGATCTCTTCCGATTTATCGTTGTTGGACATCATCTCCTCCATATCGGGGATCAGATCGTACTTCTTTGGGTTCATGTAGACACCGGTAAACTTGATGCCGCGATTCGGCATCTCGGCGTTGTTTGTCAGATACTTGACGATGTCCTGGATGCTCCTGGATACGTACGGGTATCGGTATTGCGTCAACTGTGGATACCTCGGCCGTTTGAACGACGTCGGGTGCGGCGTCTTGAATTCCCAGTGAAACGGCGTGGGTCGCGTCAGCTCCTCCGTACTTACAATCTCGTCCATATCCGGATGTTTGTATCTGCCAAATTGATGAAGAATTACCCATGTTAATCTGGCCGATGCGTAAAAATTACCTGACGCGTTATATAAATTCTTGCGATATCATTATGATCGGCTCTCTCTTTCTTTACATGTCACGATGAAATGTAAGCGAGTGGTGAACGACGCTGTCGGTGAGAGAGTCTGTGCAATGTGCAATTTATATATAAAATCAACTTGGCGCGCAATGACACAATGTTACCTAACGTAGAAAGTATTCCCTGTATATTATCATAAAAATGATGTCAATGATATTCATATTTTCGGGTTTATTGATGGGAGAATTGAGCCGTTAATATAACATCCATTTGCGCGATATGCTAATTCTTCCGCATTGCATTGTACGAAGGTCATAATATTTTGCCAAATGGACATTTACAAATCGTTGCTTGTCGTTTAAATAAAAATTTTCGGCTCTTAACAATTGATTTTGATGAATGACGATTCGAAGAAATTGGCTATGCCATTAAGGTAATTGTTGAGATTAATCACACTGAGAGAGTTTTTGATATTTGTGACTATAATTGTGTGGCAAAATAGTTATGACTAGAAGCTCTATTTTTTTATATTTTTATTGTTATAATGTTAGTATATAATCTCTTTTTAAAGAAATTTAATACTGTAGGTATTAAATTGGTTAGTAATTAATTACTTATTTGAAATATTAAAAGCACTAACGTTAGTGCTTTTAATATTCAAAATAAACGATCACCATCCAATGTAATATTTACAGTATTAAATTTTTCTAAGAGATAACAACATTTATAAGTCTCTATACAGCACAAATCATTCCAGTAATATTACAGCAACATTTTAACATTCCAATACACAGTAACATTTCAAACGTTGCTGCAAACTTCTGTGCTATATAGATTTATACCAAAGAGAATAGATAACTGTCCCCAAAAACGATTATAAGTTATTACAATCACAAATACTGAAAACTTTTCTCTCTGTGCACGATAATATGTAGTTCACCTCTGTCTCACACGATAAACAATCGCATGATTATCGAACAATTGCTTGGATTCGGATTCCTCATTTTCATTGGCATCTTCTATGGATTTCAGCACTCTCTTTCGTTGCTTGAAATTGTGCAGATTCTGCGTTCTCATCTCGGGTCCATTCGCTGTCACGATGCGTGTCTCGGCTGGTATTATATCGTCTGTTGTATTCCGTTGAATGAGACTTTCGTAGTTCTCATTATCCGAACGATCTTCCATTAAAAGATCGCTCGTATTCGATCGATTAATCATGGCTTCGTACAAATTCGTGGAGTTAATAAGCTTTTTCGAGAGATTTGGTGATTTCTTGAGAGCATTCTGTAGTATGTATATATGTTTTGTTTCCTGATTGATTTTACTGTTTCCCGTCGTGGCGGACGTAAAATCGTACATAAATATCGCCACCTACGATAATATTAAACTAAATGGTTTATTCAAATTGTGTTAATTCAATTTAAGATAAATATGTTAGGAAATAACATAAATATTATATAAAAAAGCAAAACAAAAAATATAAAAATGTTGATTATTAATTTAAGACAAGATGTTCAAATAATACAATGTCATGATAAATTAACACTCAGGTATTAAAAATTTAATAAACATTTTAATAAGGATCGGTTTTAATACAAACATAAAATATTTTTTTTTATAATACCCCCCAAGCTATTTTAATAAAATTGTTTTTAATATCTGCTAGATAAAGTAAAATTTAGCTTGTTTTGTAAAATTTTAGTTAACTTAACGTTAACATTACGCTACTTTTGAAAGCAGCAGAATGTTAGTTCTTAATTGACGTTGAAAAATTTAATGTTCAGTTTCACTGTAGAAAGAAAATGAATGATTGCAAGGCGAAATTGTACAATTGTACAATTAACAATTTATAAATCAGCAAATGATATTTATATATACAGCTTTTGAAACAACAAAGGTGCAATTAACCCATGTTCCCTGGCAGACGATGGTTAATCTGTACCGAAACACAGTTAACGCCCTATATGTGAAGCATGTAGAAATCTTCGCTCGCTTGACTCCCCATGCATAGAAGGGATACCCAAAGATTCACGGTGAAATTACAATTCCACACACGTCTTCAACATTAATCACCGGAGAAAACGCGCAAACTATAATTATGCCTATTGTTCTTTGCGCGTGGAAGAAACTCGCGAAAAACTCTGTACCGTTTGATTATTGTCATCTCGGAGGCACGTGTAACAAAATCGTGCGAAACAGGATGTTTCGCGAATCAACAGAGTTTTCGATGTGCAAGGTCATCATCCGACACAAGTTGTACGATAGAAGATGTAGCGAAATCATCGATTGTAAGATATAAACGGAAATGAATAATATATATGTAGATAGGTACACATCGCTTCATCTATTGAGTTGTAACTCATTATTTCATATTCCCAATTCTGAAGATTTAACTACCTTAATATAATACTTTGATTACCCAACTAATTTTGGCATTAAACTGAATAAATCTAGTGTATTATTTTAATATTTTATTGTTAATGTTTTGTTTAATATAATTTATATTGTTAATTCAATATCTTAAATATTTAGTAAAATCATCTTTAATCGGATAAAAATTCTCATTCGCAAATCAATAACGAGGTCAATTTTACGTATCATTCAAATATGAGTGACTTGCATGCGTCCTATTTGATGCTCGCAACGCTCGCAAGCATTACTTGTTCTTGTTTGATATTTGATAAACAATAAAAATGGAATGATTTCAGGATCGTTGCGAGCGCCAAGTGGCACGCAGCCAAAATGTTAACAAAGTGTTTGTAATATAATATTAATGTTGTCTTATCAATCAGGGTTATTATTATGCCACGACAGATGTAACCAAAGGAATAAATCCATATTTATATAACGAAAAAAGATATATTGATTGTCAAAATATGTAAAAAAAAACTTAAACATACTCGATAAATACAGTAATTAAAATTATTTGTCATGTAATTATGGCAATACCGATCAATATTATGTTTTTTTTTTATTTTTCTACTTTTTAATTTTTCTATTTTAATTTTTCCGCTTTAGTTATGAGTTCCGGTTATAAATTTCAATTATAAGCTTCAATTGTGTCCTGAAATATTTTCTAACACTTGACAAATGTAACAAATAATTAATTAATAATTCTGTACACTTGGTTACTCACCAGTATTACCGTTACCACTATCATAACTCCGATCGCAAGTTTTCTCACAATTAAACCGTAGCGACTCCTGTTATATCGATCACCGCGATCAGAATAAAGTCCTAGCTCAGATGTACTTATGGCGGATCTCCTGCCAGTTTCAAGCATCGCCTTCTGAGAAGTCTGGTGACTGATATCCTTTACGATTACACATTAGGACGATACTGAGTTTAATTAATCAGCTTACCGTTGACATGCCTCGAATTGTCGATTTGTTTCACCTTGCCATTGCGGTCAGTTGTAAACGCGAACGATCGACAGGTGTTCGTCGGCAATGATTATTTTGAAACGAAGAAGAAGACTGTTTTAGCCCGACTGCTACTGTTTTAGGCCCAACTTAGACTTTTTTAACTTAATAATTTGCTATTTCAAATTATATAGAGCACACGACGTTACTCTTTCGCCGCTCCCCACGCAACTAACGATCAAGCATTTCTCGACACGCAGTTTTCACTTAGTGATTCTATCAGTGCCGTGGAGATTTCCTTTGTTTGTGGGGGAGGCTCGTTATGGTAAGTAGAAGGCAGGTGGTTATGGGCTACTTATTTCGATGCCAGGACTCGAGTGCCACCGGAGCATACATGCAAGGAAAATCTCTCTCTCTCACCGTTCCGGTGCTTGACCTGCTAAATACGCTACTAACGTTCCATTTTCGTCCACTCATTCGTCAAAGCGACACCGTAATTTCTTACCCGTGATAAGCGCTTTTGTCACAAGTGTCTATACGCAAGTATCAGGAATAATAGAAAGCGGTCGAACACTTGCAGCGAGGATTTTAATATGTTTATTATACAGAATAGGTACTTATGTGTATAAATCTATAGAAATTTACTATAAATCGCTGCGAGTTATAAATAAAAATTTTCCTTTGAAAAAACTGACTCATTAATATATTAATTAATATATTCTTTAAAAGAAAAATATTTGTAATTATCATGAAAAAGTCTATAATTAAATATCGACTGTGATACTAATAGTTTTAAATACACTCCGGACTAAAAGTTTGGAAACACTTTTTAATTAATTTATTTAACAATAAAATAATTTTTTTTATATTCAATGTTATTAAATCTAAAGGATTATTATTAAAAAAAATATTTTTATGGATATTTAAGAAAGTAATCCTATAAATGTCAATTTTTTAATTTATAGTTTTTCCAAACTGTAATGTACATCAAACTTTTAATCTATATCTGTAAAATAAAACATTTTTATGATTAAACATATTTTAATGCTTACGTGACGTATGTTAATTTGTTAATATATTTAAGAAACAAAATAAAACTATGCAATTATAATTTTTTATACGTATATATATTATAATTACGCTTTCAAATGTACAAATATGTATGCTTCTCACTGATTGTATATACATATACAATCCTCTCTGTGTATATGTGTGTGTGTGTGTGTGTGTTGGGGGGTGATGTGTGTGTGTGTGTGTGTGTGTGTGTATATATCTTATTCTCACGTTAAATGCATTGCTGAATTTTATAAAATGTAAAATACGCAACATTTGGAAATTATTTCATTTGGGAATAATTTCGATGTGTTGTTTGTATTAAATTAAAAATACATTTTACATTAAAGTGAAAAGGTATGTAAGTACATTTTTCTAAAAATTTTTATTTCTTTTCTATACTTATTACATATATAAAGAGACATTCGTACGTTGGCCGACTAAATTCTTATTTAGAAAAAATAGTGTAGCGAAAATGATCGATATATAAAAAAGATGACAACTCTCTAAATGTCTGGCGAAGAATTCTGCGTTACCTATATTAGCCATTAAATAATCTTTGCTAATATTAATATTACACATACTAATATTTAAGATTTTGTTAATTGGTAACGCCCTGCAAGCTGCTCATGTCAGCCCATGTCATTTTCATCGTTTGCGAGTTTCAAACGGAATATCGGGAATCGGATAATTGTATCCTAAAGTTGGCCTAGGTGTTGTAGGCGGCAGTGTTGGAGGTGGTGCAGGCCTTCCGGTTGGTGGCGGCAAAGTTGGCGTGCTTGGTGTAAGGCTGTAAATAGGTTCAGGTGGCGGCGGCGGTGTCACAGTTGGATATACTGGTCTTTGGGTTGACGGCGGAAGATATGGTGGTGGTCGAGTTGGAGTAAAAGTTGACGGAGTGGTCGACGAATAGACAGGTGTAGTTTGACTATACGTGCTACTCGAAAATGTCGTTCTTATAGATGGAGTATATCTTGTAGTGGTAGAAGTATATCTGGTTGTAGTTGGGGTGTAGGTGTACCTGGTCGTGGGTGGAGTGTATCTAGTCGTGGGTGGAGTGTATCTAGTCGTGGGTGGAGTGTATCTAGTCGTTGGTGGAGTGTATCTGGTCGTAGGAATCGTGTGTACAGTTGGGGTATATCTGGTGGATGGCTCAGAGTAAGGCGGAAGGTAAGTAGATGGCTGAGCAGTGACTTGCGTACTTATTTGAGGAATAGGTCGAGCAATATATTGTGTGGTAATTCTTGGTGTAGGTCTTGTAGTAAAACGAGTAGGTGTTTTCGTTGTATATCTTCCAAATACAGTATCGAATGATCCAGCTTCATATTCTATAGTTTCTCGTGTTGTTGTTCTTGGTGGTACATAAGGAGGTCTAGTTGGAAGTGGAGGCAAATAAGAAGGTGCGGTTTTAGGTGGAGGTGGAGGAGGTGGTGGTGTTCTTGGTGGAGGAGTTTGTGGGGGCGGTACGTATGGCGGCGGCGTTCTCGGTGGAGGAGTTTGAGGAGGCGGAATATACGGTGGCGGTGTTCTTGGTGGAGGAGTTTGCGGAGGAGCTGTATATGGGGGCCTTGTGTATGGTGGCGGCGTTCTCGGTGGAGGAGTTTGTGGAGGTGGAATATACGGTGGCGGTGTTCTTGGTGGAGGAGTTTGCGGAGGAGGTGTATATGGGGGCCTTGTGTATGGTGGTGGCGTTCTCGGTGGAGGAGTTTGTGGAGGTGGAATGTACGGTGGCGGTGTTCTTGGTGGAGGAGTTTGCGGAGGAGATGTATATGGGGGCCTTGTGTATGGTGGTGGCGTTCTCGGTGGAGGAGTTTGTGGAGGTGGAATGTACGGTGGCGGTGTTCTTGGTGGAGGAGTTTGCGGAGGAGATGTATATGGGGGCCTTGTGTATGGTGGTGGCGTTCTCGGTGGAGGAGTTTGTGGAGGTGGAATGTATGGGGGTCTTGTGTACGGTGGCGGCGTTCTCGGTGGAGGAGTTTGTGGTGGTGGTGTGTATGGGGGTCTTGTGTATGGTGGTGGCGTCTTCACAGGTGGTAAATATGGTGGTGGTGTTCGTGGTGGAGGAGTTTGCGGAGGTGGTGTGTATGGGGGCTGCGTTCTCGGTGGAAAAGTTTGTGGAGGCGGTGTGTATGAGGGCCTTGTGTACGGTGGCAGCGTTCTCGGTGGAGGAGTTTGTGGAGGTGGTGTGTATGGGGGCCTTGTGTATGGTGGCTGCGTTCTCGGTGGAGGAGTTTGTGGAGGCGGTGTGTATGGGGGCCTTGTGTATGGTGGCAGCGTTCTCGGTGGAGGAGTTTGTGGAGGCGGTGTGTATGGAGGCCTTGTGTATGGTGGCTGTGTTCTCGGTGGAGGAGTTTGTGGAGGTGGTGTGTATGGGGGCCTTGTGTATGGTGGTGGAGTCTTCACAGGTGGTAAATATGGTGGTAGTGTTCGCGGTGGAGAAGTTGGTGGCGGCACGGTTCTTGGTGGCGGTGTTCTCGGTGGCAATGTAAATTCTGTACTTGGACTTGTATAAACGTATCCTGCGCTTGTTACTGGTGGCGGTGTTCTAGGCGGCGGTGGTGGTGTTCTAGGCGGTGTCGGGAATGGAGTTCTCGGAGTTGTATATGTATATCTTGGTGGAGGCGGTGGCGTCCTTGGTGGTGGCGGTGGCGGTGGCGGTGGCGTCCTTGGTGGTGGCGGTGGCGGTGGCGGTGGCGTCCTTGGTGGTGGCGGTGGCGGTGGCGATGGCGTTCTAGGCGGTGTCGGGAATGGAGTTCTCGGAGTTGTATATGTATATCCTTGTGTCACATATGTTGATGTTCTTGGTGGTGGTGGGGGTGTTCTTACCGTCGTCTGAACTCTTGGAGTTGTATAAGTATATGGTGGTAATGTCACCGTAGTTGGTCTAAATGTTATTATGCTTGTCCGTGATGACGTCACTCTGTCAACGTAATCATAGATATGTGTTTGAAGAAATTATTAATTATTATTACATAAATATAGCTTTGTCACAAACAAAACTTTTTAAAGACAAATCTAATCAGATTGATAGAGGAAAGTCTCCGATATCATATCATTTTGTTTTTGGATATTTCTTAAAAATAAAACTTTAGAAACATAATTACAAATAAGAAAATATTTTCTATCAGATATAATAATTATTGTAATATTGTGTCGAATTTGAAGTAATTAACTTTTTTATAATTTAAACAACAAGATAAAGAATGTATCTTTAGAAGATTTATGTTAGTAGCGGCGACTTTCCTCTCTATATATATATATAAATAATCTGAAAATCCTAAAATATACGTATAAGTATTTTAGGATTTTCAGATTATTTACTACTTACGGAGGTGGTAAAGTAAAAGGTTTAGATGGTGGCTCATAATTATAACCCTGGAACTGTGGGCTGTTTTCTATTGCACGTTTGCTTCTCTTTGCATCCGTATGACACGTGGAGAGCACGGCCACCAGAATGGCCGCCCACAGCAGGTTCCACTGTAACACAACTTTCATTAAAATTTCACTATAGACACAGTACAGATCAAGCATACCATTACGACCAAATGGTTTACAGCCCGTAAATGAGAAAGAGAGAAAAAATACAACTCAGATTTCTTTTATTTTCTGTTAGAAGACAGTTCTCTATCTGTTAAAGAGAGAAAAAAGATTTGAGTTGTTTTCTCTCTCACACGTACGACATATCCGAAGTATTTACTATGTCTATGATAAAAATTAATTTGATTATGTATATTTGATTAACGACAACTATCATTAGAAATATTTTTTGCATTAAAGCTTCCTAGATAATTATCGCGCCAAGGATAGTTGATAAAAAAAATAAATAAAAATCACTTTATTTACTTTTTTTGCCGTAGTAATTAGTCAAGCATTCACGTATGCAATCGTAATATATATCATAATATATCGAAGATCATCTCCGTGGGATAATCTCACGCTTCACCAACGGTGATCTTACATAACACATCTCGGCCATAAGACGCTATGTATTATAATATGACGATGATGATCGTGAAAGGTTTGCGAGCATAGAATCTGTATCTGAATGGTGTATCGTCTTTTCATTGATTAATGTTTAATGATGCAAATAGTGCCATTTTCTACAATTATACGTGCGTCCCATTAATATATTATATATATATACGTATATGTAAATTTTTATACTGCAAAGCACGTGCTTCATTTTAAACAATTAAGCATTAACTATTATAAATGCTTTTTAATGTAGATTTTATATATTTATTGTATTGGATTTTATTGTTTGATATTTATAAAATTAAATATTTTTAGTATGCTGTTTTTATTTTTATATTTAATTTCTCGTTTCTTTTCTTATTTAATTTTTGTACTTGGTATATTTAGTGTGCAACATATTTCATATTTAAATTTTTTGTTATGTTACAACAAAAATGTTTTTCTGTAATAATACGTTTATTTGTTTCTTTAATATGTATAATTATATGGATAATCTGGCACCTGCAAGTCGAGATATAGTCTCATTAATGGGTTCAAAGGTGCATGTTTCATTTCATCAGATGCAACTGACACTTCTGACGAATTAAATAGCCGCATCTGTGCTCGACGAACGATAATCCTGTCTCGAAGAAGCGCGTCCGGTGACCTTTAGCTTTATAATTTATACTGAAAGCAGCGGGTGCTGCACGGGAAAAAGACAACCTCTCCCTTGTATCTTGCTTAGTGTGAAAGGTTTTATACAAGTGCTGAAGTCGGTTTGCCAAAGAAACGATACAGATTATGAAATTGTGGCAAATATCCTATCGTCCTAAAGTTCATAATGTAATAAAATAAAAAAAAATAAAATTTACGATTTTATAATTTAAAATTTCTGATTTTCAATATATAATTAAAATCTAATTAAAGTTAGCTTTAACGCATAAATAAATAGAAGTTTGTGAAGAATTTATTAAAAGAATTTTGAGAATGTTATTTTATTAGGCTATTTATTATAATGCATATCTAAAAAGTTTTTAGCAAACTGAACGTTTTTAATTTTCCAATATTTCTATTAAAAAGATTTCAAATCAATATTCCGATTTTGTGGGCTCACAGAATCAGAACCGAATGTATAGAATGTATATAAAATAAATAATAAGTATAGGGCTACAAGCCACGTTAGGTCTTAATGCTGTGTTATTAAAAAACAAAAGTTTATTATTACAAACGTTTCGACCCTAATTGGGTCATTCTCAATATTAAATTTGATACAATTTAAAATCAACGACTTATTTGAAAGACAATAATTTAACGAAACACATGATATGATTTAGACATTAATTATAATAATATATAAAATTCATCGTTGCGTGTATACAATATCGTTATGGATGGTTGTGAGCATTATTCAATATATAAACGTGCAAACATAGATACTGCATTATTCAGATAAGATGCATGGTGGTCATCAACAGCTATCTTATAAAGTGATCTTAAAGACGCAATCGCAAAGGTTCAGAATTGCACTCTCAAACTCATAAATGAACCAAACTCTAAAGAGAGATCTACTATATATTATATTTTATATCACATTTAAAATAATTTTATTAAACTAATTTGCAGCAAAATTTATATTTGTTAATTTTAAATAAATAGTTTTAAATTAATTTTGTTTATATTCTTATTTTGTTATTACCCATATTTAGTTGTTTATTTTTTCTAAAATAGCTAATCATGAACTCGTGTCGTGACATGGATACAATTACACACACACACACACACACACACACACACACACACACACACACACACACACACACACACACACACACACACACACACACACACACACACACACACACACACACACACACACACACACACACACACACATCCTCAAGGCATTCATTAAACTGATCCAGAAGACCGATCCGCGTAGAACATCATTATTATGTAAATGAAAACTTTGTATAGGAAGTGTCCGTTTTATTGAAGCCGGCATAAGTTCAAGTCTCTCTGAAAATTACACAGTTATGTAAATATAAAGGAACTCGCGAACAATATTCTTGCAAAGTGCCTTGCAAGTATCTGTGAAATATTATTTTGTGAAAAAGAACCGTGATTTGCAAGGTATAAACCGTTCCTTCCCTTTTTGCTCCCGCAGAATGCTAGAAGTTATCTTTGATGGAATTTATGACGGAATTTATTTGCAAACCATTTACCGGTGACATGAGTAATCATCTTATTCTTGCAATTGTAGGATGCTCAAAAGACTTTAAGAAAGAGGAGGAGGAGCTTTGCTTTCTCAAGAGTCTTGAGGGATCATTTAAATTTAAAACGCAACGCAATAACACGTAAAGAAGCTTTCGAAACTCCGTTGTGCAGGTACACACGGGCATCATTTTTATCTCAAACGATTCTCTCGCTGCACGTGACAAGTAGGGCAATTATTAGAGCATAATAAGTGCGAACACCCGGTAGTATGTTTATCCTAATTTGTTCAGCGTTATGCGATAGGTGTGATCCATGCAGATTAAGTGAACAATCGATCACTCTCACAAAGTATCTTTAGATTCATTTACATTTGGAGAAAGCGAGTGTCCGCGAGATGCCGTCGATAAGTGACATGGACTTCGATGGCCTTTTTCTCATTGGGTCGATGTATGGATCGTGTAAGGTGCAAAATGTGTTACGCAACGCAATCGAGTGTTAAAATTTCTAATCACGCGACTGTCGCTATTGGATACACGGAAGAGAGTCGATCAAATCGCGAGGTATAATCAGCAAAGATATAGAATTTCTTTTGTGCGGATCTTGCTGAGAAAATTGCGCGGATAAATGAAAAGGCCCTCCAGAAAGTGTCGCACATGCCATTTACAGAAATAGATTTTATTATAATAATTAAAAACGACAATAAGCAATTAAAAACTTTCTATATAACCCCAGGGTATTAAAATTTCAGTTGATGTAATAATTACTTAATAAAAGATTTATATTAATTTTTGTAAATGTTTGTAAATGAAGATGATTTAAAGCACGAAAAATCTTTATAACATTTTAATTAAATCCTAAGAACATTTAACAAATTTATTACTCTTATGAATAAGTACATTCTATTTCAGTAGTGTTTTCGAATATTTTTTGGATTTTATATGTATATATGCAAATTATTATTAGTAACCTTTCCTGTTAAATAAATGTCAAGGATTTAACAGGAGCTGTTAATATCTAAAAAGGTTACATCGGAATATTATCGAATTAATATTCTGTTCGCGTAAGGAACGTACGCATGGTAATAAAAAGTCGTGGTAATGGTAACTACTAGTCACATTACATATTTTGTAATAGCGGATTATCGAATAAATAGTGTCCATTAATATATAATTACATTATTGATGGAATATTGATTGTAAAAAACGGATGATAAAGAGATTCAACAATAAGTTTACAAGTTAATAATCCTCATCTCGTGATTATATGACCATTTATAACAGATGGTTCATGAAGTTGTATCATTAGTATTCGTCTACTACAGCATATATTATATTATGAAAGCAAGTAATGTAACAAATGTATAGCGCGTACTAAAAGGAATCCGGAAAAGTTAATGTAATATTTCATATAATCGTTTATGTAAAAATTAGACAAAATGTAAACAAAATATGCATAAATAAATAAGAATTTGTGTGTGTGTGTGTGTGTGTGTGTGTGTGTGTGTGTGTGTGTATTAATGTAAAATAAATTAAAGTAATATGCTCGTGGCAACTGAATAATCAGCGTGCGCATCTCAAGCATATGAAAGAGGTGTAGCACAGATGCCTAACGTAAGAAGAAAAAAAAGAAAAAGAAATTAAAAGTTGTATTCTTATTTTTCTTAAAAATCACGTCTTTCTTTAATGTATTGTTATGTATTAAATATATAAAGAATCTATTGTCCATAAGTAGCATTATTGCTGATGTCTCATATTTTGAAGTGTTATTCTATTACTTTGTTTGTATAAAACATTATCGTATATTATATTTCAATAAAATTATTGTGTGTTTGCGTGTGTGCGTGTGTGCGTGTGTATATCACAATGCAACAGAGCTTCAGATTCGGGAAGAATTCCATTTCACAAGAGGGATTCTCTACGTAACGCTCATCCTTGATGAAAAAAAGCAGGTGCCATAATTCGCATACGACACCCAGACACTGCGAATCGCGCCGTAGTTGGTGGACGCTAACCGTGGAGAAAGCAATTTATCGGGTTTGGTTTAATATGGCAGACTCCTCTTAGCGAAACAGGCTTAATAAGTGTGCGTTTAATGGATGAGCGTGTACAGCCGGGTCAACCTTATAAGGTGCAAATATTGTATCTTGCATAATTCGTGCGAACCGCCAGTAAGTTACGTCTTACTAGTACTAACAAAGCACGGTTAAAGCCTTCAGGACAGGTGCTTTCCAATTATCTCACTCAACGATGATAAATGTTTGTATCGATTAGCGTAATCTCCACTTGATTGTGTCATATGTATCTCTAAAA